TTACAGTTGTTAAACAAAAATTGTGTTTCATGCAGTGACTGCTATAAAACCCAGCTGTCTTTGTTCTACCCTGCACTGTGACCATCATTGGTCTATTTTAACACAAGTCTTCATTGTAACTATGGTATAGATGTTTCACAGCTCTGTCACTGCCCCTGGTTTTCCACCAGCAGTTTGTCAGGATGAAAAATAAACAATTACTGCCAGTGATTGGCTTGCAAAAACATTCCACTTTGACGCCTTTTAACCCTCTTATGACAGTGTGCCTGTATTGTTTTCATATTCCCAGTGTTTTGTCAATTCAAACCGGAATTTGTCACTGTGATCAGGATATATTAACAGAAAGAAAACAAACAAAATTTTTAAGGGGTTCGTACATGGGTTAATAATAATAAAAATTGTTTATATAGTATATTAACGTGTGATCTAGTCAGCAATGTACATTGTGTGCAACCTCAACCTGTTAGTGCTTAGCCTGCCATGTGTTCATTGTGCCTAATTTGCTTCACTTGATACAGTTTTAATCAAGGCTGTCATTCTTTACACATGAAATTGTCCACAGGGAGATGACATTGTTTTGAAAACCCTCCTAGTATAGATGCTGGCTTTTTATTTGATTTGAACTTGTGTGCCTCATTTAAAATTGCCAAAGAGTTGATGTTAATAGTAAGTAAGTGAGTGAGTGAGCGAGAGAGAGAGGGAAAAGGGGATTTGAATGATAGAGATAATGACCGGGTAGTAATGCCATGCAAAGGCAATTTTCATCAGTCATCAAGCTCCTTTTACTTTATATTTTTTCACATTTTAAAAGAAATGCGAAAATGAAATTGAATTTAAAGAAACCTCCTCTGTCTTTATTAGGGAATGACTATGGTGGCTCTTTTGATGGCGACCTCAAATACAATTAAGTAGAAATTTGCGCCAAAGGTCTGATGAATTAGATTTGTACGTTCCAGGTGGCAGCAGCAGAAGGGGGGATTTTCAGGGGATTCATTAATTTTGTATTATAGAGGATGTAAACAAAAAAATGACCAGAACATACTCAAATGCCTTGTCATGTTCAATCATGTACTCATTTGGCGAATGAGAAGAGCGGGGCGGTGCATTCATCCATCCATCCATCCATCCATCCATCTATCTAGGTATATGCCGTGCAATGTCAGTTTTGAATAACAATGGCCGTTAAACAGTTTTCTGTATAAATACTATTTGTGTTTGTTTTGCATTTGTTTTCTTTTGAATTTATCACACTGCAGCTGTTGAATTAACTCGGCTTTGAACCTAAAATATAAAATCTAAATCAGTTGTATGTTTTTATTCTTCATGTTCACCGGGACACCAATGTTCAATAAAGCCGTACTTTCAGTGGCTCAAGAGTTATTTGGTAACTTTTATCTTTTTTTTTTTTTTTTTTTACGACTTGCACTTGTCACATTTAGCTAGGAATTATTTGTCTAGTGAAGTTCAACCTCGTGAAGTCGGTCACATTTAAAGTGGTCTGGATTCTTTTGATAATCACTGCCTTGCAATTTACATAGTTTCCTGTGTTTCAAGCCATAAAACTGACTCCGATTTATTTCTCTGCATCTTGCCTACACTTCATTTGTGACATGTATAACTGATAAGTTCAGTGGGAAAATTGCAATATTGGAATGTCTTGAAGATTTTTGGGGGAGGGGGGCAGAGAGTTCACAACTGGCGTGTTTGAGGTCCAGTTGTGTGACCTGGTGGGGATAGAGCTTACTGACGGTATATGTTTTAGTGTTGCCTATCTTATATTGATACATTCTGCCCATGTGAATTTATAATCAGTTGACTTTAAAATAAATAATATCCTTTCATAGTAATACTCCAAGCTCCCCATGACCTTCACCCTCCCCATAGGTTATGGTACCTAAGGTCTTTAAGCAATTCTCTGACATGATCTTGTGTACTATGTATGCATGCATCAGGGATCTGAAGTGGCTGGCACATTGCCAGCTTGTTGACTGAACTCTAATTGCCTCTTTCCCTATATTTTTTTTGTATCACTATCACCATCATGCAATGTTAAAACTTGGCCTAAATCCATATTTAGGGTAGATGAAAAAATAATACAACAGATGATTTATTCTTGGGTATTTAAATGACAAATACTTTTTTTAATAGCTGGTAATCATATGTATCAAACTGATTTGTAATCTCTGGGATCTATGATCTATCATAGCTGTGTACAAACATCAATCATTTCTGCATGATTAAATTCTAGGGTCATAATGCCCCTACAAAACAGTGTTTTAGGAACATTCCTCCCCTCTCATCTGTATTTCTTCTAACTCACAGGTATTTGTCTATGGCTGTAAAATAGGTATTCAAGTTTGATGCATCAATTGTTATTATTTGTACAGTTTATGGAATCCCAGCACATCTCTTCGTATCCAAACTAAACTTTACAATGCACTATGGAGATTGGACAGATGTTACACTACTCTTATCACCATGCATGTTCCATCAATTTTGCAAATTGCTGTTAAACTGGGGGGCATGGTGAGCCTCATCCTCATCCTTGTCCTCGTGGGTGTTATGTCGGTTGTCCATTTTTTATTGACCTGAAAAAGCATCTATTGAATACAGCAAGTTTCAACGATGCTTTAGAATCTGAGGGACTGGAGAATCATGGAATGTGTAAAGGTTGTTAAGAGTCAAAGTAGTGATCTAATGAGAATGCACACAATGCTATTATAACCTGAATTGTCTGGGAGATCTTGCCTAGAAAGGTGGTCTTTATTCGGTTCTCAAGACTTTTCGTAGCAGCTGCTTTTTTTTGCGGGCCATGCAACAATTCGCTGTGTAATGTTAATTTAAGAAACATTGTTAATTAATGTTGTTCTGCAGGTACTATTTACTGTCCGACCTAAATAGATTCCTTTCTGTATGGATAGGATGTACGCGTCTTAATACGGGTCTGACCCACTATTTTATTTTATTTTATGTGGGTGGGGGCTCTCCAAGCCACATTTTATATATTTTACATATGTATTGGATCATTTGTTGAAAAGAATCTAGTCAAGTGCAGCTATATGAAGGATGAAAAGAAAACTCATCTCAAAATGCCTCATGAGATTGGATTTATTCCAGTACATAACTACAGTTCCTCTCCGTGGTCACTTGCAATGTTTGAGGGCAATTTTTGCACTGCTACCGCTGCTACTGCCTTGCTTACTGGATATAGCCACACATATCCAATGACTTGTTGATCTGCAAGCCGATTGAACCGCTCGTAATACATATGCTGCAATGCATGCAGGGAACCCGGATCTATTTTCCTGGGGTGTATAAACACTGTAGACCTCTTTAATCATACTCGGATGTTTCGGGAATTTACTAATGAGAAATGTGCCTGTGGATCATGGGAATTGTTAGTTACATCTAAAACAGCTTAGCCCATAAAATAAATGGCCTACTGCAGCTACAGTGGTCAATTACTGAGGAGAGTGTGTCTGTACCAAAAATAAAAAGGGTAGAACTGGTAGGATGGTGTCAAGTTACAAATGAGTGTGCAGTGTAAGTGTGGTAATGAAAACCTGGCATGCGTCCCCTCCTGAGATTACTTGTGGATTCTTGCAGGTTTTCCCACCTGCATTTCACCTGTCTTTGCATTCCCCATTCACATTGATGGACTTCTTGATTAATGAGATAGCAGATTTTTAAATGCCTGTGTTTTTGCCATCCGTCTTCAGCTCACTTACTGGTCTGCGATAATGACTGCCAGCTTAAATAATAGATTGGGGGAGACTTATCAATTGGCTCCCAGATAAATCTGGTTGGGGGATCTATCTTTCTGTTTTAACTGAACATGTCTCACAGTTCTCATGTTGCTCTCAGTCGGACCTCTGTGTAGGGCTACAATCTCAATCAAAAGCTTATCATAAACAAAGAAAGCTATATACAAGTAATTTGTTATTGTGAAGGCAAATCTTTTGATTTTGATATAATTCACACTCTCTTGTATCTGCTCGTTCAGTCGACTGGAATGCCATACTGTTGACTGGTGACTGATGAATGTCAGACTTTTTGTAGGCTTTCACTCTATCTGGTGGCGGATACTGGAGACAACAGGCTGCTTTGCAACCACTAGCGCTGTGCATGTTATGTTTATATTGTATGGCAGTGTATAACATTTGGTTAACCTAAATAAACCATTGTGGCATTCTCATCGGATAATAACCACAAATATTTGAACATTTTTTCCCTTCAAATTGCTGCCCCTGCTACGTTTAGTTCTTGTATGTGTTTTAGTTATTGTACTAGTAGTATGAAAAAAATAGAAATTTGATAATCCTGCATTATTGTATACTGGCGTATACAGGATAGCACTTTAGATTGGTGCATGATTCTTTTATCAAGCACTCAAAAATAACACTGAAATGTTTGTGCCCTGTCGACATGGCTATCTTTATGGTAAATTGGCGATCAGTAGAAATGGACAAATGTATTCCAATATACATGTGTGCAAGAGCGAGAGCGAGAGTGAGTGAGAGAGAGAGAGGGGGGGGGGTGCTCTCATCAGCTTGGTAGCTTGCACATGTGTTACCTCTCTCTATTGATTGGGAAATATATTACTTTAATAATTAATGTCGTAATTGACAAGATGTAGACAGCCGTGGTTTACCCAGAAGGCTAACAGAAAGCCGCTTTAAATATAAAATGGTCTCTTTTGTGGCCGTTTTTGTGTGTTGACAATGTAAACTTTACTCTTTTTTTTTTTTTTCAAAATGGAATCAATATCACGTCCAAATTTCAATTCATTTTTGCAGACTGCTGTAGTGCATGTCTAATTCATGGAGTATAGATGGACAGTGCCTCGCATTTTTGTGTTTAGTGTTACTATAAAGGGGCGTTTTAGCTTCCTGGTCAATCATGCGCATTGCATTTTCCTAGAGAGCAGTGAATTATTGAAAAGCGCCCTCTATTGTTAGATTTTAACTATTCATAATCATCTTTTATTTATTTATTCCCAGAGTCTGAATGTCAGCGCAGCAGCAAGGCAACCAGCTAGGTTCTTGTGTGATCCGGCTGTGTTCTCGTTTCGCTCAATTAGCACGATAAATTCCCTACCGCCTGTGGAAGACCCAACGTTGACTGCATACTGAAAAGAAAATGTTCCATCCAGAGAGAGGACCAAGTAATTAGGACTAATTTAAGAGCTTTATCTATAAGCAGACCTGACAAGACGCACATGCTTTGGACTTGAAAGACAATAATAACATTTTATTGAAATATTAAAGTTCCCAATGACAATGGAAATCATTTCTTTAGATAGGTATATACCAGTACAGACCAACAGAACAAAAAATCTTGTGTTGTTCTATTGCTATTCAACAATGGTATCAGATATTCAGTTTATATTGGTATTGGTTAAATGCAACGGTTTACAAGACGTAAAAAATAAAAAAGTCTATTCTAGAAATTCTCCTAATTTTATGTTCAGATTTATTCACTGTTGTATGAAGAGAAGCTAAAAAAAAAAAAAAGTATCTAGATTTTTCAAATTCTGAGAGTTGCTACTCAGGTGACGTTTGTTTCTTCTTCCTAACTTTGATTTGCTTCGCCTTTCTTTAGATGAGCGAGGTGGTGAAACATAATGTTTAACCAAGGTGGCCTGACAGCATTGTTGAAAATACTGTATATATGGCGTTGGCTGCAGGTCATTTGTAGATGGTAGATTTTTTTTGTTGATAAAGATTTTTATTTTAAATCTTATAACACTATCAGGGATGCTGCTTGTTGGGGCGGATGAAGATTCACAGGCTTAGAAAAAAATGGTCTTGATTTGTTTTCCTACTCTTGAATGATAATTTACCATTCATATTTTGTTTTCGAAAAACAAACAAACAATGAATTCATTACCACCAGAGCATGGCTTTATAATTTTTTTTGCTACATACTTTTTGTTTGACAACAAATCTGATTGTTTTTGTTTTTTAAAAAAAAAAAATTACTTTCCAATAATTTCTATGTGATATTTTGTTGTCATAAGTGAATCCAAACCGAGTTGTCATTTATATTAAAGGTTTTATTTCTAAGCATATATAATTGTAGACCAGTTTGATTAAATACTGACCTTAAGGTATCAGGTCAGAATGACATATTTAATGAAAGTGTCTGTTGACTTTAAAAAAAAAAAATCAATGTTATTGTTACTAAAATCATTGGTATGAATTTTTTTTTTTTTTTTTTAAATTAAGAAGAATGTAGAAATAAGTTTGTAGCCAGGAACCAATGTTTTTGGTTACTGTCCTTTGATATTTACCAGAATTAAGAGAAGAATAATTGCTTTTTTTTTGTATGTTGGTAAAAACATAAATTTCTTGAAGAATACTTTGTGATATATGGAGCTCTTTGCAATAGAATTTATCCAGAAGATTTACTAAACTCTTTGACCTTGCATTTGCATGACTTTTACATATGTTACAATATAAAAAGCAATTCAAAAAAACTTTTTTTTTTTGTAAACTGTTTTCTTTTTTGTGACAGCACGTAGCTTGCTATTCTTAAATGTAAGGATGGGGTGTGGGTGGGTGGGTGGGTGGGGGTGATCTGCCCAGTGATCAGTGAAAGTTACACTGGGTGTCAAAGAAGTGTTTTACTGATAATGTAAAAACAAATCTGTGAAATTGTTTTATTACAATCTGTACTCAGGAATAAAAACCAGACGATTGTATCTGGCCATGACATTGACACACAGTGTGCCTAAACTTGACTTTGGGGCTCTCAGGAAAGATACGTTAATGTAAAATGAGTGTACTTTTAATATCTTGACCTCAGAGTGTGCACACCACTTCTGTCCACTTGTTTTTCATCAGTGTGCTGCCAGTCGGCATTAAAGCACTTTGCAATTTGTTTTGATTTTTATTATTCAGCAGTCTGAGAATATTGATAAAAATGCAGCCAGTTGCAATATTTGCTCTCAGATCAGATATTGAGGAAAAGAAATTAGACTGTCATTATATATGCCTGCTCTGAAGGCTTGAAACAAGGATTTTTTTCTTTCTTTTATTTTGAGGCTACAGCACCTTTTGTCAGAAATGTTAATTATAAAATGGTGTATAGATTTTGATACTAGTAACATGGTAATTGTTGTTGTTCTCCTCCTCCTCTTTGGGGGTGGGGTGGGGTGTTCAGTGCTGCTGTTTATTTACTACCAAACTCTAGCTCGTTTATATTATTATTTTGTATATATGTTTTTTGTGAAGGAAAGTGTTAAAAAGGAGAGCAGAAATTCAAATACTGTGCGTCACTGTCGGACCAAGAGCTTCAGATAGGGTTAAAACAAACTGACTGCTTTAGAATGCTCGGGATGGCGATGACTTAAATTATATATATTTGTGGTAACCTTTTGATATTTCTAGCTGTTCAGGATTATGTCCTGTCTCAACATTACTAGTCACAATAGTGTATTTTTCAAAGGTCTTTTTGCCTCCCATCAATAAATTATATATTTAACCTTAAAAACTTTGTCTTGTCTCTGTTTGTATACAGCTTACGATAACATAAATATGTAGGAGAACATACGAGTAATTTTCTTTTATTTGCAGCATAGAGTGCATTTCAAACTCAAGCAAAATAATTGTGGATTGCAGATCTTGTTTCCATGGAAATTGCACTTGTATCTGGCACTTACAAAAAACAAGCAGCCTGTCGGCTGAGATAGCTCCGCTGTTAGCAATGCACATGGCAATTAAAGAACAGAAGAAATATCATTAGAAAATGAACAAATCTGAGAGGTCCACATGTAGTACCTATATGTATAATATATCAAAGCAATCGGACTTG